CGGGGCGCGCGTGTCCTCACGGGTGCGCTTAGGAGGGCTTTCTGGGGTGTGCGGGGTTTTTTTTTTTTCCTTTCTTTCTTTCTTTTTTTTTTTTCTTAGTACTCTCCAAACTGAACAGCAGGGCACAAAACGCCAAGAGCCGTCTTCTGCTACGAGTTTAACTGATATAGGAACCCGAAGGATCTTCTCTTCGGACCACGATATCTTCAGGGAGAGCGTGAGGAAATTCTTCCAGGAAGAAGTGTTGCCTTTTCATGCAGAGTAATATACCTTTTATACGCTTCATGCAAATAACTTGTATTTTTTTTCCCCTCGAAATGCTTTTTAGGGTGTTACTCTTAATAAGGCAAGATAAACAGGATACCTGTTTCCATTTGTAAGTTTACTTTTTTTTAAACTGACTTGCTGGAAACTAAACTGCCTGTGAAACTCATCTGTGAAAGAAAAAACACGTGATCAGCACTTACTGCATCCCTCAAGCTCCAGTGTAGGGCAACCTGGTGTCCTCGCAGGACCAATGCAGCTTGCAGAGTTGCAGCGAAATTTCCTTGCTTGTGCACGTTAACTCTGACACCAAAGTCTTGCTCGTAGACTTTGGAGGACGGTTTAGTCACCACGTTGTTCTGGTGTTTGATACTTCTGCTGCGGCTGCTGTCAACTCAAAAGCATTAATGTCACGTCTAGGTTCCATTGAAGAAGATGCTGTAAACGCAAAACACACAGAACGGTGACCTGTATAAAGTGTTATTGAGAAACCTGCACAAAATAACTTGGTCTAAACGTCCATATCTCTTTCTCCTGTGCAAATCTATACCCAGGGTCTTGTATAGAGCAGAAGTGTTCCCCATTGAACTGAAGTTTGGCAGGGAGGGGCTCCCCCTTATTCTAGCTGTATCTAATCATGTTACACTTAAAGTACGTGAGGCTTAGCTCGCTCAGAACGTGGTTTTTCAGATGCAAAGCGCTAAGCTGCGCTACTGTCTTGAGCAATTTTCTTTTTGCTTTACTTGGAAAAGGTTCCTGCAAAAACAATGGGGAACGGTGGAGAAGGGCTTATTCTTAAACCATGCTGCTAGATTAGTTTCCTGATGCAGCCCACAGCGTGTATCCGCAAACAGTTGAGATGACACAATTGGGTGGGTGGTGTGTTGTGGCTCAGGGGCAGAATGAACAGCAGGAGGCAATGGAAACAGTTTACGTCAGGGTTGTTGCCAGCTATTATTTTCATCCTCAAACAATGACCTCAAAGTGGGATGTTTTTCCTCTGTATAAAAATCTTCTGTGCATGAAGACGGACGTTTTCCCCTGGATCTTTTGTTTGCGTTATTTTTGGTGCAGTTCATCAATAGGTACTGACTCAGATAAGGGTTACTGAAGATCCTGTTTACTAGCTAGCTGACACAACCATTTCCTAGAAAGAATGGAACAAGTTGGACTTGTATTCTTGCATCACTTTAGGGACTCTGACCCATTTTCTTGCCACACCTTTCAAATAAACAAGTAGGCGTCAAGCATAATATATTAATTGGCTGGGCTGGCGTGGAGGGAAAAGTGTGGCATCAGTGGAAGCAGCTCTGATTGACCAATGATTATAATGAGGAGGAGCTTTGGTGGTGGGTGAGGCTGAGGCAGGAATGGCCCTGAAGATGGGCAAAAGGCAAAGATAGTCGTGAGACAGACTTTGCTGAAGGTTTCCAGTGTAGGTGGAAGGAGAGCTCTGGATACGAGCTTCAGTGTTCAGGATAAGATACTCTATTAACTGTGGATAAAGCACTGTGGTACAGCTCAGCTGCTCATGGGGTGTGCCAGAGGCGTGCCTCTGATCTAGTCTCTCTACCATATGATTTCAGAGTGTGGCTTAAAAAAAAAAAAGCTCTACTGTGCCACTTTCTGAGTGAGCAAACTCCATAAAGAAGTACCATTTTTCTGAGAATAAGTGATTCTCCTCTGAGGTTAAAATCTGCAAAGTGTCAACGGGTCAGCCTGAACTGTCTGTCTTACAAACCTGAAAGCACCTTATAGCACAGTTTACCAAGAGACAGTACTAACTCGTACTGGTGCACAGAGACTGATTTATAGATAAGTTACTAATATGTTAACGCTTGGTTCTTATCAAACAGTTCTCATGGGTAGACTCGAAATGTTTCACAGAAACTGATGTGTTTGTACCTGTCTTGTACATGGGGATCATGAAAAGTCAGGAAGATAGACCTGTTTGATTATGCAGATAGTTGTGGCTGAATCTCCTAAGGCCTAGTCTGGTACTCGGAGCAAGAGGCGGCATTGCCTTTCATAATGAGGCTTAAAGAGGTGTCAGGTTATACGTTGGAAGCAAGAGTTCAAACCTGTTCTACGGTTGGTGTTTCTCGCATCTGTGGACTGAAAGAATAGAAAGATGTGCTATTAATCCACCTCTTAGCTGGGAAAAGGCATAGTTGTTTGCGCACCCTACGTGTTGTGAGTTGGTATTGAAGTCTCTTCCCCAAGTGGTGAAACCTGGCTTCACCCTGTAGCGTGAAGCAGTGGCTGTGACAAATGAAGAGTAGCACACGGGGGATTTCACGTGTGCCTCCATTTGTGTGTTTGCAGATGGGAGAAGGAAGGCCAGGTGAGCAGGGAGCTCTGGGAGAAAGCTGGACAGCAGGGTCTGCTGGGCGTTGCTGTATCGGAAAAACATGGAGGCATCGGAGGGGATATTCTCTCTTCAGCCGTGGTCTGGGAGGAGCAGTAAGTACTAGAAACTTCAGGAGGCGTTTCAGTTATCATGTTATCAAGAGACTGTATTTTTTCATATGATTTCTTTACTGTAGAACGTGTTTGCTTACAGAAAATAGTATTACCTTTATAACGGAGAGGATAGTTCAGACATGTGTAAATCCCTCCTCTTGTAAGAATTTCAGATGATTGTTTAAATAATAAATGTCACTGTGCCCTACTACTAGGGCTTTGTGGCTGCGGGAAGCATTTTCCTTAGGCCGATAGGTAGTACAACCATTTGGCTGTGGAAGTATGTTCTGCAAACAACAGTGTAAATGCCACAAGTTTAAATTATTGGTTGGAGACTTCTGTGCGGTGGGGTTTTTTCAGTGTTGGGTCTATGTTGTAACACAGTAAAGTTCAATTTAAATGTTTTTAGTGCTTTTTGTCTGAATTTTTTTCCCCCTCCCGCTCTCCCAAGGATGTATGTTAACTGTACTGGCCCAGGATTCAGCCTTCATTCAGATATAGTCATGCCCTACATTGCAAACTATGGCTCTGAAGAACAGATTAAACGCTTTATCCCCCAAATGGTTGCAGGCAAGTGTATTGGAGCTATCGCCATGACTGAACCTGGGGCTGGCAGGTAAGGTAAAAATAAAGACAGATGGTCTTAATGTTGTATGCGGTCTACTGATTTTTCCCTTTGTGTGTGTGTGGAAAAAATTACTGAGCATCCTGGTTTTATAGTCATCTCAGTGACTAGACAATATCCCAGTGTAGACAGAACATCAAAAACAATTGTTATTTACAGATTGCTTTGTTACAGTTTTGTTGTTTTGGGGTATCTGCTTAGAAGCCGTTATCTTACCATGCCACTTTGGGCAAATACACTTTTGTATTTTCTTTTGTAGTCCCAGTTGTACATACTTTAGTATGAAAAGTTGTAATCAAAAGAAAATTACATACCTCTGTAAAGAGGGCTTGCCGTCTTTAGTACTGGCTTTTGTTGTGGAACGGAACACCCTATTTTCTTTCCTCTGAATCCTTTCAAAAAGAAATCTCCCTCTGTTATCATCATTATTGAAGGGCAGACAGCACGTACATTGGGTAGACACAGCTGATCTGGCCAGTTTCCAAAATGCTGAGGTGGGGGGGGGGAACATGTGAAAAGCAGAACTCTTTGGTGTCGTGCTTCTACAGAAGGTAGATGTTTTTAGTGGCTTTCTGCAGACCCCCCTCATGAGGACTGAGCCTCCTTAGACAGTGTAGTCTTGGCTGGCATTTGACATTTGCCCTCTAAGGCATATTGGCTTAGGGAGATGCTGTCCCATTGGTGTCAGTACTTGCATTTCCCCCACCTCTCGCAAGCAGATACATTAACATGGGACCTCATGTTGTGGTGTGGTTGCAGAGGTTTATTATCCCTTTACACAGTGTGCTTTTTGGCGTCTGTGCTGTATTCTAAGCCATTTCAGTGTGTTTCACTCTCTTCCTATGCGCTCTCACTGAGTGTGTATCTTGATGGTGGTCTTTATACTCTACCTTATTTTATATTTGGTATAATTTGAGATACAAATTGCCACTTCTGGACAGGTGTCTTAAAGGTCCTTTTAAATCTTGTTGTAGTGACTTGCAGGGAGTACGAACATACGCCAAAAAAGATGGAAGCGATTGGGTCCTTAACGGGAGTAAGGTAAGAGAACAGATGTACACTGCTCACAGGCTTTGGGAACTGAATGCATTTAGGCGGTGAAGGATGTATTCCAGTGTCAGCATCTCCCCCCAGCTCTGTCAACTTTTTATTTACCAATTGCATTTTTAGGACTTAAGATACTTCTGCTGCTGACAGTTTATGGGCCAATTTCTTGAAGGACTTGAGTCGGTTCCTTCTGTAGCTTTAAAGTAACCCTGTCTAAAGGCTTTTTTTTCTTTAGAACTGGGGGCGGTGGGGGTCTTCATAGTATAAGCAGGACCTGGGCTATTTCTCGGCGCTGAGATTGAACAGCAAAACATATATACTACTCCACCATGAAATCCTATATAGTCTGAGTAGAAGCTTTTGTTGCCGCAGCACAATTTGTGGAATGTTTACTCAGGAGCCTGCTGTTCAAGTTAGGAGAAAAAATACTGTATCATATGCTATGCATGTGCTGTCAAGCTGTTGCAAGGCTGGCAGCGTTAACGCTTCCTTTTGTTCCCATAATAAGAAAGCAAGAACGCAGGAGTAAAGTATTGAAATGGAAGTGTGAGTTCAACAGGATTTTGTTACAGCTACACACTGTTTTCATCTTTTTCTCTCCCCTTTTTTGTAGTCTCAGTGAGAACTTGGTACTGATAGACTTCTGGCCTTAGCAGAATTTCAAGTGCTGAGAGTGTGTGCAAGCAAATACGTACATACAAGTGTTTAAAAGGATGCTTGCTTTGCTTATGTTGCCTCATTCAAGCCAAGCAAGACAGATTGCTCACTTTTGGCAGAGTTAGGATTGTGAGCTTCTTGCCTTTTGTCTCTTGTTTCTGTGTTTGGTCTGCCAGGTGTGTTGGAGCTCTGATTTATAATCATCTCTTCTGTAATGTATGTTCCAGCTTTCCATGCACTGTGACACATACGTACCTATCCTAAAATGTTACATGGTGGATGGATCATACTACAGAATTGCAGTGAGCGGTCGTGATAGAAAGCCATCCGTTGTTTCGCACTTTATACTTTGCGCACTTAATTTCTGGAAAACAGAATATCTGTGTTTGTCTACATTTGATACCACGTTCCTTCTTTTCCATGGGACAAACAAAAGAAACAGATCTGTGCATTCTTTAACTTCACACTTCCGATTCACGTGATGCTTCTTGAACCAATTCCTACTTTAATAGATCTCGTTCCAAAACACATTTTACTCTTTCTGAATTGTTAAAATCCTTCCGGATGCTCACAGCTTGCCTCTTGATTCACTTGTAAAAGTGTCCATGCTTTTTCTTTCTGTTGCTTTATAGCGTCGTCTAACTTCTTTCCAGCTAGCTTATTGCTTTGCTCCATGTTGGTTTTCTTACAGGTATTCATCACGAATGGTTGGATGAGTGACGTAGTGATTGTGGTTGCAGTTACAAACCGTGAGGCTCGATCCCCTGCTCATGGGATCAGCCTTTTTCTGGTGGAAAATGGAACAAAAGGTTTCGTCAAAGGACGCAAGCTGCAAAAAATCGGCCTGAAAGCCCAAGTGAGTTCATATGACCCTTAACAGGTAGCCGACTTGGAGGTAGTCCAAAAGCACTTAATACCTGGAATCAGCGAAATAAAGATAAAATGGAGCTGTACCTCTACGTTTGTTTCCAGGCTTTAGGGAACAAACAGGATATCTACATGCAAAGAATGTATGCTGAGCATAGTCTGTGGAGGTCTGGAGTACACGATGTACAAAAAGAGGCTGAGGGAGCTGGGTTTGTTCAGTCTGGAGAAGCTTTGAAGGACGGGATCTCACTGCTGTCTTCAGCTACCTAATGGGTGGTTGTAGAGATCGTGGAGTCGGACTCTTGTCAGAGGTGCGCAGTGAAAGGGAGAGAGGCAAGGGATACGAGTTCTATAAAGGAAAACTCTGAGCAGGTATTAAGAAAAAAATTTTCATTTAAGAGTAGTCAGGACACTGGAACAGAGTCCCAGGGAGGTTGTGGAGGCTCCATCCTTAGAGCTATGGAAAGCGTGACTGGACAAAGCCCTTAGCTGCCTACTTGGCTGGATGTGCTTTGAGCAGGAGGTAGACCTCTGGAGGACCTTCCAACCTAAAGGTTGTTACGATTTCAAGGTAAAGAGTGTAATAGCAAGAAAATGCAGTGAAAAGAAGTGGAATGAAGAGGTAACGATTGCTGGGCTGTAAATCACTGCATTTTAAAATCCTCTTAGGATACGGCAGAGCTGTTTTTCGAAGATGTGCGGTTGCCAGCCAGTGCTTTGCTTGGAAAAGAGAACAAAGGCTTCTATTACCTGATGGCAGAACTCCCTCAGGTAAGAGGAACACAAGCTTCTGCTACCGGTGGGAGGAGCACAGACACATCTTTCTAGTCATTGCGAGGTTCTGTTTTAATCGTGGAGATTATGGGTCATGGTGAGCCACCTCGGGCTCCGAGTCGGGATGTCTGTGAGCATCACCCTGTTGGTACTGCTGCTTTTCAACTGAAGTATGCAGTTCCTAGTGCTAACAAATGCAGTTCTTTGGGGCATTGGTGAAAATGTTGATATCCCAGTAGCTGAAAGCCAGATCCCTTAGTCTGTGACCCAGCTATTGAAGAACCGGAGTTTAGAGCAACCTGTTAAAAAGAACACAGTTCTCTTGCGCTCAATAGATTAAATATAGCATGAAGGACTTCAGTGCATTTGGCCTTCTGTTGAAAGAAAGAAGCAAGCACTGCTGTTCTAACCCTTTCACCAGCAGAACTATATTAAAGATATAAGAAATTCTTTCTTTATCCATATAGCAAAAATAGAGGAATTGTTTAGTTGCCAAAATACCTTGCTAGTGGAAATAACCCTGTTTACAACTTACTGAGGTTTTGGAATGACTTGGGAGGACAGAGAAGCAACGTGAGTTTTCAGAACATCGCTGTGCTTTGTCAAAACTGTGACTTTGTGTTTGCCTCATCTGCTAGAGGGATGTTTGTTTAATTTTATACTCTGGGTAAATAAGAAGCCTGATCTTTCAACTTGCAAGGTTGTGTTAGGACCTGGTTCTTTGACAGAAAATGTTTCCCTGCTCTAAAAAAAAAAAAAAAAAAAAAAGATGCGCTCATGAATAACTTCTCAGGGATGCATCAGATTATTTCAACAATGTTAAAAGTAATTGTTCTGGACTTAGTTTCAGCTTTTCCGCATGCTATGAGAGGAAGGAAAAAATGACTCTGTGTTTTAGTTTTGGATTTTTTGTTCTTCCTAGGAACACCTCATTGAAATTGTTAAATACAATTTTGCTTTTAACTGAGCGGTGAAAATCAATAATTGAAACAGAACTTGGTGTAAATTTTTCAGTCAGTCAGTATGAGTCCTGCAGTTGATTTGTAGCTATTTTAATATCATTGGCCTAATAGAACTTTAGAACATTGCCCAAAGAAGCTTTAAAGTGGGCTTCAGACATCATAAATCCAGATGTTTGTCCTAATGATTAATTTTAGTAATGCATTAAGATTAATGCATTTAATGCATTCATTTATAAATTGAGGGCATTAATTTTAGTGTGTCTGGTTTGATACTTGGTGTGACTTCTGCTTTCCTCCCTTAATGAACAGCACTGAACATCTGTTTCCCAGTTCTGCATGTGCATGTGTGCACCTGATACAGACAGACATAGGACTAATTTCAATGGCTTCTGTCATTTGTGTTTCAAAAGGAAAGACTGTTGATTGCTGATATGGCTCTTGCCAGCTGTGAATTCATGTTTGAAGAAACAAGGAATTATGTGAAGCAAAGAAAAGCTTTTGGGAAAACAATTGCACACTTGCAGGTGAGTTTCTACTAAGAGACTTGTAGGTAGATTTCAGTGTGCATCTGTGTTTCACATCTCTATTTGTGGAACAGTAAGCAAATGAAAATTACTGGACTGTTTTCAAAGGGTTATTTATTTGCGTAGGTTTGCCCGGTGGACTATGGCTGTCTGTCTTCCTCCCTGGTTGGTTGGCTGTGTGTTTTTTGTTTGGTGGTTTGGTTTTTAAAGCCCAAACTCCTCAACGTATGTGTCAGGTAGATACCTCCAGCAGTGCTGGTTTTGGATGTGAAATATGCAACTAGAGAATATACTGACTTGTTAATTATGATGAAAATTCAGCTGGTTGCTATTAGGCTTGCATTTTACAGTCTGAAGCCCTAATGACAGGGAATGTTACACTTGCATATGTTTGTGTAGCTGACTAGAACCCTAGGGACTCCAGAAGAGCTTGGTCCGTGTGCAGGCACTGCGTCCCTCTGCACGTGATGTGTTGCAGAAACATGATCTCAGAGACTGGTGCCAGTCAGGGTTCCCAAGCAGTGACCTTGTTGCCTGAATGCCTGCAAAGCTGTTTGTATTTAGTTTTATGGGTGTTGTAACAGGATTCCTCGGCTGCCAGGTAACTGGGTGCTTAAGTGACTGCACATAAAACACCTGTGGGATCATTCTCTGTGAGCATAACTCACTCCTGGCAATGGCAGTTAATTGTATTTTGAGATATTTATGCCTACACTCTTTAGTTACAGTCCTAAAAATAGATATTGCTTTCTATGGTATTAGGATGTTAGAACTTTCCTGAAAGGCCTGAAGTGAACCAAACTCTTGCATGTTTGGTTTATAGGATAGGAATGATTCACAGATTAGAGGATGTTGGCCCTTCTATTCGTTATGATAACTTTTGAAGTCTAAAAATCTTGAGACTTTTCCTTTGTCAAAATCAAATCTTTAATTATTGTGAACAGGAGCAGAAATGAGCCCTTAGAGGCTGCACTGCCAGGTATCTTTCAGGCAATGAAGATTTTCGTCTGTGTTTTTAAAGCTTACCTGTAGAAATACATAATTCCAGGTAGAACTTAATATGTATAGTGTGCAGTGTTAACACTAAAGAAATATATTTTACAGTCTTTTTCATGTAGGTGTGGGGTGCTTTTTAATTACACTAGTTCACTGTGCAGAGACCTCCAAAATATTCTTCTTTTTGAGGCTAACCCCTTGTCAGCCACAAGGCAGCCAATAGACTTCATAAAGTATAATATTTTTGCCCAACGAATCGATTCTGGTAAACCTTTTCGGTTTCTCTTTGTTGGTGATTACTAAAATGTGGCTATAATCAGAAGTTGTCCTCTTTCTAATTAGAGCTCTGTCTTGCCTGATGCATTTAGCTATGCCACCGTACAGTGCTTGAAGTCAATCTTTTCTTTGTAATAGTAGACTGGTCATTTATATTAATTGGTCAAGGCAGGAAAGAACACTTAGATTAGACTAAAGAACTAGGAGATCAGAAGAGACTTTTACTACTGGTTTGCATTTTTATCTCTTCCCTACCACTGTGGAAATTACTACGAGGTATTTGAGCGCTCTCCTTGTCTGACTTTTCTCTAGTCTTAGCAGGGGATTTTACCTCTTCTGTCTAGAAAGTCTTTTTCTATGTAGCAGGTCTCAATGTTAGAAAACTTTCTGACAGTTAGTCTAAAGTTTCCCTTGTTTCAATTTGTATGCCTTTGAATTGCACTTATGCACACACGGTGTTTTAGAGTTCAAAATATATCCAATACACTGTGAAATGTTATTAATAAACCGGGGAAATTACTGGCTCTGCAGAGTAAAAGTTTATTTGCCCACAAGGGGGAGCACAGGGTAACAAAGCGTCCAATGCCTAATACTCCATGCTCTCTAGGAATTTCTGTATTTAGGCTGTTGGTTGGGGTTTTTCTCATGAGGTCATGTTTTGAGTTGGTTTTGAGAATTGAAGGGCAATAATTTTCTTTAATAAGATTGTTAAAGACATAATGCTCTGGAAAGTAAGTTGTCTTCTGCTGCATAGAGCCTAAGTTGCTTGAAATGGTATTTATTTTAACTGTGCAGATGTACTTTCTGTGCACAATATTGCTTGTGAAGTAAGCTTCATCACACAGAAAACATCTTAAAAAAAAAAAAAAAACTCCATTTTCTTCTTGAAATATTCCTTAAAAACACCACAACTTCTGCTTTTCCTTTCCTCTGGCTCGTCCGTCTGCCTCCAAAATAAGACGGTACAGCACAAGTTGGCAGAAATGAAAACACAGATTTGCGTGGGCCGAGCTTTTCTGGACAGCTGTTTGCAGCTGCATGCAGATAAACGTCTGGACTCCTCCACAGCTTCTATGGCAAAGTATTGGTACGTGGTTAAAGTAACTTGAAAGTGTTTCTTGTGTGATCTTGACAGGAGCCTAATCGTAAAAACTCTGAACTGTTCAGATTTGATGAAAAGATAAAATTACAGTCTGATTAATAATTAAATTGTCAGCTTCTAATAGACACCATTAGCTGAAACTTTAGTCATGTAGTCAATAAAAGTCTTAAACTGAAAACCAGTGTTAGTTAATCAGATCGGTTTCAAAGTAACAGCATGCTTTTAAGGTGGGATTCCCTGAATAATAAGATCAGGGCTCAACTTTAGCTTCAATTAAAAGTGAATATTTCATTGGTATTTAGAAAGATATTTACATGTTACCATGGCAAATCCTTTTTTTAAAAAAAAAAAAAAAAAGAAGAAAAAATTGATTGGCAGCCCATGAGATGTAGAATGCATTTTAGTTAACATTGCTTAGTGATAGCTGTTCAGCCTAGACAGTTTTTGAAGCTATCCTATTTCAGGAAGAAATAGTTGGCTACAGCTATTGCTGTAATTGAGACTAAACAGTTCTTTCCTTTATTGTCCAGAACCTCCTCCTCCCTCTCCCCGTACTTGGTGGTGTTATCTGTTAACTTAAGTTTAACCAGAGAAAGCTAGGTGAGTAGATGCATCTAAGATAACAGCACATGAATTTGGCACCTGTATAGTTTTCTCCCTTTGTAAAGATAAGGGGAAAATGCACATCAGATGTTTATAAGAGCATGTAATTTTATCGAAGATGCGCAGCTTTACACCTTCCAAACCAGCATAGAGCTTTCTAAAAAAATGACGGAGGAAATCTTCAGAAAATGCTAAGGGAATCCAGTGAGAGTATTTACAATGAGAGGAAGGATTTTGATTGAGTGATATTCCTGGCACTGACTACCTAGAAGTACCAGGTACATAAGCAGAGGCATTCACTTTTGAGGAGGAGGAAGCAACGAGTGCCAACTCAGATATAGGCTGACTTCCTCAACAGATTTTTCCAAAGCGAGGAATTTGAAACTCCCCCATGCTCGCAAATACTCGTGCTCAGTTTGTTGTGGGTTTCCCCTCTCCCGTCATGGAGTTCCTGTGGCATAAAACTGTCCTAGATGGTTTAGAAAATGCTTGAATGAAGAATGGCTTTTTTTGTTAGTGTTTCAGGAGACCACCTAGTTAATTTTGCTTAAACCTATTGTACGGTCAATAGCCTTTGAGGTGGAGGTTTGAAGTATTTTAAGAAATAGTTTATGCATCTCTTTACTGATCCCTAATGAAGGGGCTGTAGATTTTTGCTTTGCGGTGGCTGCAACTGTACTGAATAGTTGAATTTTAAGATGTCTATTATATTAGTAACTCACTGTTGCGGATTTAAGCTTGATGTAATAAACGAAGAGGGGAGAGGGCTTTGGGAGGAAGGGAATCTCTCATTCTTAACCTGAGAAGCAATTGCTTTGAGTGGTCGGTTTCTTTACTTCTCTTGCCACTCTACGCGAGTCATACGCTTAGGAAGTGTTTCTTCCTGTCTTTTAACTGCAGCTTGAACTTACAGTGCAGTTAATATCCCATGGGTTCTTTCCTCTGAGTGTTTGAAAGAGCAGCAAGTATGCAGCTTTCCAAAAGCTGAGATGCAGGAAATAAACCCTAAATGGCATGCTATCTGTCAAATTCTAGGCAGTGCACAAAATGGAATGCTTTAAATGTTTTTAAACATAGAAAAATTGAATATCTTGCAGTGAGCAGTTCTAGTTAAGAATTACAATATTTATTAGAATTGAAAACTGTAAAATATACTCGGGGAAAGTACAGCGTCCCCGGATGAGGGTTGCATTCAGAAAGCAGCCTGGTGTGCTGCTAGTAGGGGAAAAAAGACTGATGCCGTTAATCTTACAATATAACTGAAGGATCTGATAGGAAAACACACCAAGCTGCTTTACAGAAGCAACCTCTTGGCCCATGGGAGCCTGTTAAAAAGGCACACAGGCTTGTCTATTTTGAAAGCTTTCCTTCTGTGAAAGCTCTTCCATAACGAGAACAGATCTTTAATGCGTCAAACTGAAGAACGTTTATTGCTTACCGTTCCTGCAGGAAGGAAGGCCCTCAAAAATAAACTACTTCAATGCCCAACGTTTCAGATCAGTTTTGTAGAGTAAAAAGTTTGATAGTTACATTTTTGTCTTGCTAACTTGACTGCATCTCGAATAAAGTTTCACAGCATACACGCTCTAAAAACAATTTTCTCTTTGACCATTTAAGGGCTTCTGATCTCCAAAACAGTGTGGCTACTCAGTGTGTGCAACTGCATGGAGGATGGGGGTACATGTGGGAGTATCCAATTGCAAAGTAAGTGCAGCATTTCAGATTGGAATAATGAAAGATTACCGGCAAAGTAAAATGAGGCACCCCTTTTACGTCTACTTGTCAGTTGTTTTGTGTAGGGCTGATTTACTGTTCCTTTTCTCATCATGTTTATTGAAAGGCAATCCACTGTACAGACATCTGCAGGAAGGCTTGATTTTTAATTCTGCGAATAATTCATAAGCTACTGAGCAATTCTTATTTATCTTTTGCAAACTGAAAATGGATTTTCTGGAAAAAGTACTAGTGAAAAAAGCAGAGAAGCAATGTAAAAACAAATGAGAGAGATTAGAGATTTGCCATTCCCAATTTTTTTGCCTACTTTGTGAACTTTTAAATTTAACATCGGTGTCCTCTTGGATGCAGGATAATAGGTTGGCAAATGGTAGAGCAGAGATAAGGTAATGAGATTACATACTTTCGTAGCTTTTAATGTCCAGACTTTGTAAGTTTTTCCTGCCTCTTTATGGAGTACATTTTTTTTTAAATGAATAAAACTGATTAACGTAACAATTGATTTTTTTAAATGCTTATTAAATAACTGATTTAAATTTCTTCAACTTGACTTGTGTCGAATTGAATGAACTTTCTCCCTTTGCACAGTGTAAAACTGTGTTCAGTGAAAGATCACACGCCACACTACTGAAACCTAATTCTGAGTTCATACTGTTGCTCTTTCATAAATTTAGAGTAATGTCATATACTCTTTCATTTTTCCATAACTGCCAAATTAATCCTAACACATACAATGCTCTGAGAATTAAAACGTGTTCTTATTTGTTTAAAGCTGTGGCAGCAAGACATGGTCAGACACTCCAAATAGGAAGAGCAGACCAGATTAATTTCTGAAGTTGTTTAACTTTGATTAAGGAAGTATGTTATTTAATGGGAGAGGTATAATTTTGTAATCCAGAAGAATAATGTACTTTGAAAAAGAGGACTCTCCAAAGATAAAGATATTGATATCTCTTTTTTGGCTGTAGATACGTTCTGAGAAGTCTTTTTTTTTTAACCTTTCTTCTTTTTATCCCCTCAGAGCTTTTGTGGATGCCCGTGTTCAACCAATCTATGGTGGTACCAATGAAATAATGAAAGAGCTTATTGCTAGAGACATTGTCAGTGACAAGTAGGGCAGATGGTTACCTCTTTGGAGAGTACTCCTGAATCCTTTCCCATTAATATATGGGATAAAATCAAACACCAGAAAGTAAGTAAAAGAAAGATGCCTTGTATTTTGCTCTTTGAAGGAAGAGATGATTAAAAATAGCTGTTATGAAAGTGGTAGTCGCAACAGAGTGGTTATATACAGCACTTCTGATATTTAATGGACTGCTCTGCATTTGGTGGACAATACTGAGACTAATCTCTGAATTCCAAAAACCTCATATAAATGTACTGGTAGTGAAAGGCAATTTTGTGTTTGGAATACTATTGATAGATCAGTCTTTCAAACTTGATTTCATTATAGTGAATCCAGCCCTCCCTTCTCAGAATTAAGCACAATCATATCATTGGAGAAACCACTTTCTTAACAAACAAACAAAAAAAGAAGTAAATTATGAAAGAAATTAAAAAGTAAATACAGCTTGGGCTTTGCACAGCCACTTGACAGATATCACTGTGGCAAAGTGGAACGTGGAACTTGTGCTGCTGTTCGGTTTGTCACTGTGTAAGAATACTCTTAATGGAACTCGTTAAAGAGGAGCAGCCTTTGTGTGCACGGACTGACTGGGCAGCCATCACCCCCTTACGGGGGAACGGGAGGTATGATTATCCGTCATGTTTACACATCACCAAGAACGCCTTATTTTAATTACTGTTTTGGGGTAAATATAATAAAGCATCTCTGTGCAAGCCAGCAGTTGCCTGTGTTACTTGAGGGGGGAAAAAAAATAACCCGAAGCCCGTCGGAGCATGGGAGGAGGAGGTAACGGGATCTTCGGGGCAGGGGGTTGAGGCGCCC